GACTGTTGGTTTTTGTCAGCTGCCTTTTCTGTGTCAGTTGTGCTAGTGTGTTTTGTCTTTCTGTTGCTTCTGTGGTATACTGTAGTAACAGACCAGCTGATAAGCTGTTCTTGCATTCTTGAGATAAATCAAACACCACCACCTTATATAGGCTAGAATGACCTCAAACTCATTCTCCTGCCTCAGCCGCCAGAATGCCGGGGACATAATTCACCATATCTACCTATAGATGGGTTTGTTTGTTTGTTTGTTTAAAGCAGGGATTCTCTGTGTCGCCTTGGCTGTCCTGGACTCACTTTGTAGACCAGGCTGGCCTTGAACTCACAGCTCCCTGCCTGCCTCTGCCCCTTTGAGTGCTAGGATGAACGCCCAGCTGGTAGTTCTCCTCTTTGATTACTTCGTGTGGTTTTGGTATATGCCTAAAACAAAACGAAAGGACAGTGTCTTATTTCTATTCCTGGGTAGCCTGGAACTTGTTCTCTGGGCCAGTTTGGCCTCAAACTCAGAGATCTGCCTGCTTCTGCTGCTGGAGTACTGGAATTAAAGATGTGCCACAGGCCCACTGGTATAGGCTTTCACACATTTAAACAAACAAGACAAGACTAGAATACATAAACAAGGAGTGCTTTTCATCTACCTAAGAATTTGTGTTGGTGGTCCTTCGGTAGTAGCTCTACTCTTCATGTTGCTAATTACTTTCCCCAAAGATGATACAGTTTATATCCAACTAGCATACTCTGACCTTGTTTTGTTGACAGGGTTTCTCTGTGTAGCCCTGGCTGTCCTGGAACTTGCTGTGTAGACCAGGCTGGCTCTCACTCAGAGGTCCTCCTGCCCCTGCCTCCCAAGTGCTGGTAGTGGCACCACTGCCCAGCTATGCTCTGATTTTTTTTAAAGTTGGTGATGCTGATACATAGAAAATAAGATGTTGGATGTGGCAGCACACTTAGTCCCAGCTCTCTGGAGGCAGAGCCAGGCAAATCTGAGTTTGAGGCCAGCCTCTGCTGTATAAAGTAAGACCCTTTCTAAGACAATAAAAAACAAAACAAAAAACCATAATTGTTTTGACTTTTATCTTTAAAATTATGGATAATAGTAAGTGTCATTTGTGTTTGCTTGTTTGAACTGTATTTTTCAGTGGTAGGGTCTAGGTGTGCTAGGCCAGCTCTAGCACTGAGCTGTAGCCCAGCCGCCCTGATTTTGTTTTTAAACCGTCAACTCCTTTGTTTTAAAATTATTTGCCCTTTATTATTTTGTAAGAATTCTTGGTATATCAAAGAGATTAGTCCTTTGCCACACTTGTGCTGAATATTTTTACTCAAATTGGCTTTTCCCTTGTTAAAAAAAACTATTTATTCATCTATATCTATGCACAGCTATGTGAGTTTATGTACACTGCGTGTGCAGATGCCTAGGAGGCCAGAGGGCGTTGGATTCTCTGGAACTGGAGATAGATGCTGTTGAGAGCCTTCTGGCATGGGTGCTGGAAACTGCCCCCAAGTCCTCTGCAAGAGCAGTACATGCTCTTAACCACTGAACCTCTCTCCGCCCCATCTCACCCTCTTTTGAAATGGGATTTGCTATGCTGTCTAGGTTGGTCTTGAACTCATAGGCTCAAGTAATCCTCCTATCTCAGTGACCTTCCAAGTAATTGGGATTGCAGGCACATGCCACAGCTCCTGCACCCTACCCCCAGTTATGAAATGGGAATACAGGTTTCTATATGAAAAGAACTATGCCTGGCACATACTTGGTATTCAGTAAATGCTATAAGCTGTTGTTATCAGCATCATACATTCTCATCATCTTCTATTAAAGCTCACCTTCCTTGGACTGAAGAGATGCTCAGTGGTTCAGAGCACTGTCTGCTCTTCCAAAGGTCCTAAGTTCAGTTCCCAGCAACCACATGGTAGTTCACAACCATCTATACCGGGATCTGATGCCCTCTTCTTGCATGCATATGACCTGCAGATAGATAGATCACTCATATATGTAAAGTAAATAAGTCTTAAAAAAAAAAACAAAAAAAAACCAAAAAAACAAAAAAAACCTCACCTGTCAGAGCAGAGCACACATATTCCATCACATTTGAGTTGCATGACTTACGATAAGTTTGTTTGAGGGAATTGAGATGTGATTTCATGTAGCCCAGACTGGCCCAGAACTCACCGTGTATCTGAGGATAGCCATGAACATTATTTTTCCTTACTCCATCCCCCAAGTGCTGGGATTAGAGGTGTGTGCCACCACACCTGGTTTTATGTGATCCAAACAAAGGGCTTTGAGCATTCTACCTACTAAACCACACCCACAGACCCCAAGTTATATCATCTCTCTAGCTCAGGCTGACTGGCAGCCCCCTGCAAAACGGTGGCAGAAGTGCACAGGTAGTTGTCATTGTGACGGATGCAAATGAGTGTGGGAGTGCTTAACACAAGGCCAGGCCTGTGCAGGGTGGCGAACTTCCTGGTGTTAGCGACTCTGGCTGCTGTTGGTTAGTAGTGTTGCCTTCCTGCTGGGGTGAGCATGGATCTCACTGTTTATTTTTGGGTTTTGCTTGTTTGTGGAGGAGGAAGGGCTTCGAAGGTTTGAGACTTTGGAACCAAAGTGTATTGAATGATTTCTCCAGGATTTACTTTTCATTCCTCTGTAAGCTGAGCTCCCAAGGGAGCTTTGAGCTGCCTAGGGTAGTGTTTCTCAGTTAAGTCTGAAGGTTCTGTTTCTAAATAGGAACTAAAGTAACTTCTTAGATTTAATTGGCTTGATAAACTTTGAAGATTGTAATCCTGTACTTCAAATCTCAAATCAGATAAGGCTAAAAGGTCTGGGTCAGGCTTCTTAGGAGGGAAAATTCAGAACACATTTTCTTTACGTTAGTAGGAATAGTGGTCAGTTAGCCTTACATGTAAGAGTAGTGGCTTGGGGCTAGAGAGCTGGTTCAGTCAGTAAAATACTCGGCAGACAATCATGAGGACCTTGAGTTCAGATCCCTAGCACCACACAAAAAGTGAGCAGGTACAGCAGTGTATACCTGAGCTAGTCTAGCTCAGTCTGTGAGCTTCAGGTTCACTGAGAGATCTTGTTTCAAAGAAAAGGTGGGGAGCAGTTGGGAAGACACCAATGGTACACATGGATACACATGTACACACATGTACATATAAACACCCCCACCCACAGACACTAGAGAGATAGCTCAGCAGCTTAGAGCACTGGCTTCTCTTCCAAAGAACTGTGGTTCATTTTCTGGCATTCACATGTGGAGTCACAACTGTCTGTAACTCCATTTCTAGGGGATCCGACTCTAATGGCCTTCTCTGGCATCAGGCAGGTATATGGTGCACAGAAATATATACAAGCAAACACCTATATAATAATAATAACAACAGTAATAGTAGTTAGTGACTTAGAGGTCAGTAAACGGTTTCACGTACTTTCTGGTTTCAACCCCACTTCCACTACATGAATCCTTTGTAATGAACAAGGACACAGCAATGTTGATGGGCCAGATTGCATAGCTGAGGAGTAGGAGTCATTGCCCCACCCATATTTGAGGGCCCCAAAATTAATAGCTTTTTTTGTATATGGCAGCCACCTCCCTGTTGATCATCAGGGTAGACTTTTAAACCTGGCCAGAGAGAATTAGAAGCCCATACTTCCTCCTTCCCAGAGATGTTGACTCTAGAACACAACTCCCCTGCCCTCTCAGGAGTATTTCATCATCCGAAATGCTAGGTTGACCTGTATGCTGAGCCTTTAGCAACTTGTGAAAGTGTGCACTCTGATTGCCAGAGCATAACCTGAGTGAGTATCTGCACCTGACAAGATTCCAGAAAGTGCTGCTGCCGCTGCTCTCTACAGATCTCACTTTGAGTTGTGAGCTCATAGAGACCCTTTAAACATACTGAAACTAGAATCCAACTTCTAGAAATTGAGGATGATCCATAATCTGGTTGAAGCTAGGGTTGTGGTACACACATTTAGTCCCAGCACACAGACAGATAGCTATAAGCTTGAGTCCAGCCCAGTCTACCTACTAAGTTCCAGGCCAGCCACAGTTATCCAGTGAGACCCTGGCACAAAATAACAACAACTATAATAATCTGTATGAGACCTTAGCGTTGATAGGGTTTGTTTTGCTTTGTTTGGGGGATGCGTGGGTGAGGCAGGGATTTTTTTATTTAGCCTGGGCTATCTTGGACCTTGCTATATAGACCAGAGCAGTTTTGAATTCACAAAGATTGCCTGGCTCTGCCTCTTGAATGCCAGGATTAAAGGCACGTGCCACCACACCCTCATACCTCTCCTGCACTGCAGGCTGGCGTGAAATTTGGGATCTTCCTGCCTCTAATTGCTAAGTACTACTATGATTATAGGTGTACATTATCACACCTGGCTAATTGTTTTCCTAAAGTGATATAAATATATAATTCTATGCAAAACATTAGAAAGAACAGATACCCAGAAGAAGGAAAAAAATAGTATCACTCCATTTTCCATTCTGGTAAATGCCCTTCCTTGTACATTGTTGTGGAGTTGCTATATCTTTCTTACCATGTCTGGAAACAGAGACCAAGGGCTGAAGAAATGGTTTAGGAGTTAAGTGGGCTCACACTCTTCCAGACGACTTTTAATTTTAAAACATCTCTGAAATTGGACTGTTGGGGACTCTGGGAAATAGGAACCAAGTTGCCATCCAGAAATGCCTCAGTTTGTAATCCACCCACCATATGAGAGCACAAAGTGGCATTTTAATATCTTAGACTGGCAAAGGTGCCAAGTCTTCTCTTTCCAGACAGTCATTGTTTGACCTATCCTGTTGCGCATTTCTGGAAGTGCAGAGTCTTGTGCCCTGTAGCATTCTGGGAAGGCATTCTGGGCCTCAGGCTTCCCAGAACAGAGGTGCTAATGGCCAGTGCAAGCACACTTGAAGGTTCCCACTTGATGTGTCCTGAAGGAAATGTCACTTCTCTCCCCATTCCAACTGCAGTTTCTTTCCCCAGCAGGTTTGGTGGCTAAGGTTCCTGCTGCTTCTCTGTCTCACGTGTAAAACAAGCACCTTCTATGTCCCTGGAGTCGCACCAATCAACTTCCACCAAAACGACCCAGTAGAGATCAAGGTGAGTGAGTGCTTGACTCATAGGAGCACCTATGCCTAGCAGCCTGGCTAGAGGACTGTGCTGAGCTGTTTGTGTCCGTCCTGGAGGTGTAGAGAACACAGATGAGGGCCAGCTCCCCTGGGCAGAAAAGGGTTGACTCCGTATGTAAGGCTGTCTGTAGTTCTACCTCTTCATTGCTTCCTCTGTGCCTCCCAGTCTCAGTGTCCTCGCTCACTTTTACTACGAAGTGTGTCACATGCCATCCCACCCAGCTCTGTGTTACTCCACTTTTTTCTGGGGCTTCTCCGCCTCCTTTTCTCATCTGCTCCATCCTCCTTTCATTACTAGCTTTTGAATAATACACAGCAGCTGTTCAAATGTCTGTATTGTCTATAGCTCTCTTCCTTACACCTTGCAGGGAAAACATTAAAGTAATATTTACTGAGGGTTTTTACATGCCATGCATTGGGCTCTGCTTAGCTCAGCATACCCCCAAGAATCGTCTGAGGGAAATTCTGGTTCACAGATTTTCTGTATGTTTCATAGATATGGAAACTAATGCAGCCAAGAAACAAGCCAACGTGTCATATGTGGAGAAATGCAAGCATTGACACCAGGTGACATACATGAAGTGAATAAATGGCATCATGTCAACTCTTGACTCCAGGGCCCTTAGGAAAGTTGGGTTTTCGAGCTTTTGGAATGCCAGGTTTCCCACGGCTGTGCCTTTTTCTCACTTTTGGCCTTTGTCCAGAGCTCAGAACAAAGCTTGTGGTACAGAGGTCCAGTGGTGTCTGGGCTCTAGCCCTGTCAGACTGCAGTGAGGGAGGACTCCTGAGCTGGCAGACGAGCATTAAGCTGGAATACACCTCTTTGTAATGTAAGAGTGTGGGCATGCCTGCACCCCACTCCCATGGCCCAGCGTAAGAACGCCAGAAATCAAGAATTAGCAGCCATGAATTTGGGGACAGTTTTTCCTTAAGTAATTCATAATGTGTGTTGGTTGATTGGTTTGGTTTTATGACAGGGTCTCATACAGCTTAGATTGGCCTTGAACATTGGATAGCTGAGGATCATTTTTCATTCACCTCCAAACTTCTGGAATTATAGTCCGTGCCTCTACACTAGTTTATATTACATGCATAATCTAGGTCCTTAGTATCTTGAGGCTGGCATCCCAAAAGTTCCAAAATCCAAGGTTTCCTAGGGCCCCTAGAGGCAAGAGCTAACTTCAGACTGACGTGCTGTTTACTTTCTTTATGTATCTCACTTAGTATCAATATGTTTGCATTTCTCTGCAAGTGGTTATGAAATATGAGATATTATTCCAGACCCAGTGGTTGTTTGTGACACAACCCCATGGCATGTATAGCATGCTGCCTGTTCAGTCCCTCAAATTTCTAATTCCAGAGTGAGAATTTTAAGTAAGGGTTGTAGCCCTATTCTAGAAGTCAAAAATTATTTATAATTTTAAATGGTATATGAGGAATAGCAGGTAGTTCCTCAGTATAATTTCCTTCATATTTAAAGGGTTTTTTTTTTTTATTGTTATTCTTTTGCTTTTTGTTTTGTTTCGTTTTTTTAAGACAGGGTTTCTCTGTGTAGCCTTGGCTATCCTGGAACTCATTCTATAGACCTGGCTGGCCTTAAACTCATAGAGACCTTTTGGTATAACTTTTTGGTTACTTTATTAGGTTCATATATCTACCACCCTTCCAAACTATATTCTACCCTAATCCTTCCAATTCCTTAACACTAGGTAGGAGAAAAAGAAGATTAGAGGGGAAAGAGAGCAGAGACTTCTTTAGACTATTTCCTGCTGATTAGGAGTGTCAAGAGTTCCTGGGGGCAAGTCCAGTTTCTGTAGTCACCGAATGTCTCTAGCCAGCAATAGCGGTCGCAGCAGCAGGAACCAGCAGCAGCTGCCACAGACTTTCTTGGAGCCCTCTCATTCTACCCTCTCAAGAGTCCCCAACAGTTTAAATGTAAACTATCTGCAGCTGGCAAAAATCACACCCCTCCTAGATACAAGACAAACCATAGTTAGGTGCTGTGGACAATCTGAAGCAGCCCCATAACTCACACCTGGGATTAAAACAAAAACATTCACATAATATTACTCGGTTTTTAAAGAAACCAAAATTCTGATTACAGAGATCCACCTACCTCAGTCCCCAAGTGCTGAGCTTAAAGATGTGCACTACCACTGCCCCACTTCAGAGATTTTTTTATTACACTTTATTTACTTATTTATTTATTATTTATTCATTTATTTATGTGTGTGTGTGAGAGAGAGAGAGAGAGAGAGAGAAAGAGAGAGAGAGTAGGTTTGGGTGTGGAGGACAGGACAACTAGAGCAGTTGTTCCTGTGCTCCTACCATGTGGATCTGTGGGATAGGAGCTCAAGTTGTCAGGCCTGACGATAAACGTGCCTTTATCATCTCAGCGGCCCTCCCGTCTTGTTTGTTTGTTTGTCATTGTAGTCCAGCCTGAGCTCAACCTTATTGGGTAGTCAAAGATGGCCTTGAACTTTCTTTACAATTTTTGTTATTATGTATGTGCACATACAGTAATGTATGTGGGGGTGAGGCTGAGCCACAGCATGGGTGTAGAGGTCACAGTACATCTTTGTGCAGTTGTTTTTCCCCTTCCACCATTATATGTGGATCAAACTCAGGTTACCAGGCTTGGCAAGCCACTTTACCCACAAAGCCCCGGGTTTGATCCCTTTCACTACTATGTCTGGCTTGTAGCTAATAATAACCTTGAACTTCTGGTTTTCCTGCATTTGCCTCCTGAGTCCCAGCACTAGAGGCACGTCCACTTCGCCCGTTTTATATGGTGTTAGGGATTGATCCTGTGGCTTTGCAGATGCTAGTCAGGCACCCGCCAGCTCAGCCACATCCCTAGGCTGTCTCTGCCTCTGTTCCTATCTTTTCCTCCCTTCTCTTTCCTTCCTTCTTCCCTCTCTCCTTTTTTCTTTTTTTTCTTGTCCTCTTCTTTTCTTTTCTTTTTTCCTTCTTGGTCTTGCTCTAACTTGAGTTGACTATCATCCTGTCTCAGTCTTGAGTATATCGTGGTTGCTCAGTTTCCCCATTGTAGAGGGTTTAATTTTTTTCATGTTTTTCCTCTATGCTCATTTAGCAGACATTAAATGAACATCTACTGTGCTATGCTCTAAGTGGGAAAAACTGATAAGAACTAGGAAATACCATGGGTGGTGGCTTACACTGAGAAGCTAAGGATTGTGAAATCAAGGGCAGCCTGAGCTTCGAAATATGACACTGTTTCAAAGAAGAAGGAAAATAAAGAAATTGAAACTTGGTATACAATAACCATACTTACTTATTACTTATTTTCAAGACAAGTTTCCCTGTGTAACCCTTGCTGTTCTGGAACTTGCTCTATAGACCAGGCTGCCTCAAACTCACAGAGATACACCTGCCTCTGCCTCCTGACTGTTGGGACTAAAGGAGTATGTCACTACCGCCTGGCCAATAATTATATTTTTGTGTGACATGCTCTGAAGGAAGCTGAGGGAGTTGAAATGGAATGGTGGGAAGTTTATTTACATACAGTGGTTAGGAAAGGGCTCATGGGCAAGGAGGATTTTAGCCAAGGCCTATAAAGGAGGATCCTTCAGATGAGCGCAGAGGAGAGAAATGGCAAGGTGAAAGCCTGTGGCAGAAGAGCTATAGGCTCAGAGAACTGAAGTGAAAGTGCTACCATGGTGGCAAGTGAAGCACAGACCTCTTTGTCCCTAAAGCTTCCTTTGGAAGACCACTCACATGTCATTATCTTGACGGGTAGCCGCATGTTGAAGACTCAGTGAATTTTGGGTGTCACTGTGGGTTTAAACCACTTCTACGGTGCTGTCTACAGCAGAATCCTAAGTTGTGAGCAGTATAGGATTTCTGTGCTGTAGTCCTGGCGCCTGCAGTGGAATTGCCTGTTGGGTGATAGTGCTGCGTGTGCGGAAGATGTGAGTGCCGAGGGGAACTCTTGGAACAGCCTTGTTCCTGGTGGGTTGAGGAATAACAGCTTCTCTCCTTCCTGCAGGCTGTGAAGCTTACCAGCTCTAGAACCCAGCTTCCTTACGAGTACTACTCATTGCCCTTCTGCCAGCCCAGAAAGATAACCTACAAGGCAGAGAATCTGGGTAAGCTCTTGTGCTGCGTCAGCCTCTTTCACAAGGGAACCTGGCATGGTTTTCAGAGTAGTGGTGGCCGTGGTCCTTACCTAACGCTTGCTGCGTGCTAGACACTTTTGTACAGAGTTTATGTGCATGTTAGCTCATTGACTCATTATGGCCCTGCGGGTAGTGATTTTGTGTGGATGTGTGTGTATTTTGTAGATTGACTTGCCTTTGGTTATATTGATAGGTAGTAGCTAACCTGGGCTTAAGTTTTCAGAGCTAGAGCAGTCAGCTTCTGACCACAGCAGCTCTACGTTGCTTTCTAGGTATCCCTTTCTTTTCTGCTGGCTTCTGTTGCTTGCTCTGATCCTGCCTGCTTTTGGTGTAGGCCAGAGGATGACATCAGGTTGTCTTATGGGTTGCTCTCCATAATATTTATTGATACATGGTCTCTTGCTTGAACCTAAAGTTCACAGATTTGACTAGTCTAGCTATCCAGGTTGCTCTGGGGATGCCCTATCTCTGTGTCCCAGTGCTGGGATCACAAACAGGCCACCACGTCCACCCAGTATTTACATGGATGCTGAGACACTAAATTCAAGATTACTTGCGTGGCAAGCACTTTACCCATTGTGCCATCTTCCCAGATCATTGCTCTGCCTTTAATACAGGGTTGATGTAAATATAGTATTTGTATATGAAATTCCCCCCAAATAAAAGAAATGTAAAAAAGGAAAGAAAAGGCCAGGCATGGTGGCACACACCTTTAATCCTAGCATGAGTTTGAGGCCAGCCTGGTCTACAGAGCAAGTTCCAGGACTTCCAGGGCTACACAGAGAGACCCTGCCTCAAAAAACCAGAAAAGAGTTATTACCTCTGCTTTGACATTTTTGCTAGGCTGAGTAAGACTCACTCAGAAAGTGTGTGAAGCACCCTGCATAATGTCTGGCACAAGCTGTCTATAAATAGTGGCCATGATTCTAGGTTAAATCTCCAGTTGGAGGTACTGCTTCAGGGTAGTTACTCATGCTTCCTCTCTGCCTGTCTCTGTATTACATCTGGAGAAGAAAGCAGACACAATCCTGGGACCTCAGGGGCCTCAGCAGATTTTTTTTCTTATGTCTCAGGAAGGGTTTGGGTTGTTGTTGTTGTTGCCATTGTTTAAAGGTCTGGGGGGGGGGGGGGGTGCATGCTTGTGTATGCTCGTGTGCGTGTGCAAGAAAGAGTGCATATGCAAGTGAATACGCTTGGAGGCCAGAAGAGATACTGGCGTTATAGGCATTTTGTGTCATAGCTGGCTTGTTACAAGGGTGCTGAGATGTGAAGTCTAAGTCTCATGATTGGGTAGTAAGTGCTGTTTTCTACAGAGCCATCTCTTCAGCCCCTCTGTGTGGTGTTTTGAGCCACGATCTCTTCCTTGCAACCTGGCCTGGAATCTGCCATGTTATTCATTGCCCAGACTGTCCTGATCCTCTTGCTTCAGCTTCCTGAATGCTGGGATCTGAATTCCAACCGTCATGATTGTGCAACAGTTGTTAACCTCTGAGACATACCAGGAAGATGCTGGGGATCAAACCGAGGGCCTTGGGTTTGCTGGGCAAGTGCTCTACACTGAACTCCACCCTAGCCTTTGAGAATAGGTTCTCTTTTAAAAAATGGCGTGTATTAGTCACATCATTGCTTCTGGCTCATTTTTAAAAGGAGGTGACACAGGCTTGTCCTGATTACTTAGGCTTAGCAGGAGGACAGCTTGAGCTTAGGTGTTTAAAGCCAACCTGGGTGCATAGTGAGACCCTGTTTCAAAAAAAGGGATTAGTGACAGCACTCTGGAGGCAGAAACAGGTGGATCTCTAGGAGTCAGCCAAGGAGACATAATGAAACTCTGTCTCAAAATCTCAGAAGAGACAGAGAGATATTCAGAAATGAGCCATGCTAGACCAAGATATCTTTTTTGTTTTGTTTTGTTTTGTTTTGTTTTGTTCTTCCAAGACAGGGTTTTTCTGTGTATCCCTGCCGTGGAATGCACTCTGTAGACCAGGCTGGCCTCAAACTCACAGAGATCGCCTGCCTCTGCCTCCTGACTGCTGGGATTAAAGCCATGTGCCCCCACCATCCGGCTGGTATCTTCTTTCTTAATTCAGTTTAATTTCTAGATTTCAGAAGAGTTGCAGCCTTACTTGGTTTATGACCTCCTGTCTTTGAGTCAGCTCCTTATTGACTGCAAAGAAATGAACAATAAGACATGGTGCAAGGAAAGAGCTTACCCCAGAGATCATAGCAAGCTACCCTCGCTCTAGTTCTAGTTGTCTATAAAATGCTACTTCAGCCATGGACTGTGCGGATGTCCTGTTGATGCCCTCACTCTCCATTCACCGTGGATCCCAGACTTGCAGGCTCATGTACACTGTAGGCATCTGATATCAGCTGAGCAATAGAGGCCTTTACCTTCTTCACTCTCTTCCTTTTCCTCTCCTGGATAGCCTCTCCCATGCTCACCTACCAGGGTTGCTACCTTGCATGGCTACATGCTGTCTCTAATTGGTAGAGTTTGTGGCTCTGCCACTTTGCACTTACCTCTGTAAGTAAGTAATGCAACAAGTCATAGCATCCAACTACCTGACCTTTCCTATTGACCACTCACGGAACTTGGTCATGGAAACCTGAGCATCTTTTCAGCAACCACCACTCTTTCCTCATCCCTAGTATCCGGTGAGCAGCTGATTCACACAGTTTTACCACCTTCACTGGTCTTGAGTCTGTGTGCTGTGATGATGGCGTCCTCATAGATTCTCTTCCTGTGTTTGTCCTCACTTCATGACTGGTGCCATCACTGCAGCCAGCTTCCTACATCCTTCGCAGAACAGCCAGAGTGATCGTTCCATAGCTGCAGGAGGTAATATCTTCCCCATCCCTGCTGGAACCCCTCAAGAACTTCTTTGCTTTCTGGACAAAGATCAGAAACGTGTGTTGGTCCACCCTAAGGCCAGCCCCAACCCATCTCTTAGCCATCTCCCCAACTCACCCAAGCACTCTGCTTTGCCAGCACACGGGTAATCTCAAAGTTGCCACCCCCAAGCAGCCTTTGCTGACCCTGTCATCCTGGAGCTTGTCACGGCCCTGTTTCCCCTGTGTACAGAAACAGCTCTGTATAGTGAACAGAATATTCTGACTCCTGGGTGCTTGCTATTGCACCCTGCCTGACATTTATGAGCTTAGTCCTGGGACATCACTTTACTGAGCTTTAATATCCTTCTCCAGAAAATGAGATAGCAGTTGTATTCTCCCTACAGATACACTGAGAACTGAGGGGTTAATCCACTCCCAGGCACAGAGTAGGCAGGCAACAAAGAACACCATTTGCATCATTGGCATCACCTCTGTAGCCAGGCTAGCCTCCTACCAAACCTTTCCTATCTCTGTGCAGCTCTTCTGTGTCAGTGACATTACTTTGCAGTATGTATGTGTAGGTCTGACTCCCCTACTATCAGGGAGCTCTCTAAGCCAAAACTTAATGTACTGGCATCCTGTGCCTGTTTCCCCCGAGTAACCTGATGCCAAATGTTACACTCACAGGCACTGAGCAGCTGGGAAGCGTCAACTAAGCCCAACTGTGTTTTCACTCTGAGCTGCTCATTAGTTCGACAGTAATGATATGAAACTGGGACAGGCTGAAGGAGACACACCATGACAACAGGCGGGACTACCACCTCCACATGTATTTGGCCTAACATATGCCAGTGGATCTACTTGATACACTCAAAACGCCTTATCTACTCACTTACTCATTCATTCACCAATATGTACTGGGAACTGGCTATGTGCCAGGCCTGCAGATACAGCGTTGAATAGGCATATTTGTGGAACTTACGACCCTAAGTTCTAGTGTGAAAATAGACTGATTAAGTAATCAGCAAAGTGAAAAATGTCCTGTGCAACTGCTCTTGTGGGGATAGCTCTAGGGAAGTCTCAGTGAACTAGTAGTGCTTGACACAGCACTAAATGAGGGGTGGTATTAACCAGGCGAAGAGATGGAGATTAGTTTAGACAGGCAGAGGCTGCTTGGGGGTGGCGACTTTGAGATTACCTGTATGGTGGCATAGCCCAGTGCTTGGGAGTGACCTGCGTGAGTTGGGGAGATGGGTAAGAGATGGGTTAGGGCTGGCCTTAGGGTGGACCACACACCACATGATCTTTGTTCAGAAAACAAAGACGCTCATGAGGAGTTCCAACAGAGACGGGAAGACATTACCTGCAGTTCCAGGCCAGGAAGGTAGCCAGGCTTGAAGCCAAGAGCATGGGATTGGGATGACATGCAAGGTATGGGAAGCCACCCAGGCTCTAGAGGCATGGGAGGATGTAGGGCATCTACCAGCAATAGAACACAAAGTAGGAAGGGTAGTGAGGTGGAGCCTGACTGCTAGTGGCACTGTTGACATCCTTGGAGCTCCATTTTGTACACCCGTCTGCAGCCCCATGACTGCTGACCATCACAGGGCTGAAGCTCTGAGCTCCATCTGTCTCTCTTACGGCAGGAGAGGTGCTGAGAGGGGACCGGATTGTCAACACCCCTTTCCAGGTTCTCATGAACAGTGAGAAGAAGTGTGAAGTTCTATGCAGCCAGTCCAACAAGCCAGTGACGCTGTCAGTGGAGCAGAGCCGGCTGGTGGCCGAGCGCATCACAGAAGAGTACTACGTCCACCTGTAAGTTTCTGCTGCTCCCAGCTTGCCAGCTTAGCTCAGGGAGGGCCTGGTGGGAGTGTGGTTCCGAGAGACTGAGTGAGGCCTTGGGTTTCTAGCATTGCTGACAACCTGCCTGTGGCCACCCGGCTAGAGCTGTACTCCAGCAACCGTGACAGTGATGACAAGAAGAAAGAAAAAGATGTGCAGTTTGAACATGGCTACCGACTTGGCTTCACAGATGTCAATAAGGTAGAGTATCTGGTATGGCTGGAGGGCTGGGTAGGCACACCTCACAAGTTACAAATACTTGGGGTCACAAGGAATGGGAATATACTCAGCTCTTGGCTAGCAGCACAGGAAACAATGGGGTTAGCAGGCTGGTGAGATAGCACAGCAAATAAAGGGGCTCGTTCCCAAGCCTGTTGAGTTCAATTCCCAGTACCCAGGAGGTGGAAGGAGAGAGCTGACTCCCACAAGCTTGTCCTCTGACCACTACATGTGCTGTGACATGTACCCACACACATAAATAAAATACTTAAAAAAAAAAAAAATGGAGGTCAGGGCACATTTCTGCCAAAGCCATTATGGTAGATAGCCTGTGAAAATCCTGTGACTTTTGGCTGGCTCCAGCACACGCTACAAGGAGATCAAGGTATAGTCACTACAATGTTAGATTCTATTTCTATAAGATTAAAAGGAACCTGGAACTTCTAAAGTGTGTAGGAGAGAAAAACCATATGATGATCAAGAACATGCCCTAGGCTTCCTGGCTGGATCCTGCCTCTACCATTTGCAGTGATCTGAGTGTCCTTGGTCCAGTGTTTGAGTATCTGTAAACACAGTAATGATACTCACCTGTGTGGTTTGGAAAATCACTCTGTGTGGACACTTCACAACACAGCTCGTAGGAGTAAGCTAGTAATGACATAGGCTATAACTGTGTTCTCTTCATCTGCTTTTCTCAGGGAAAAGGCTGACATCCTTTGTGGCATAGTCCCTGTCCTCAGTGGCCTTTGGAGAGAATTGGTTGTGTAAGGCCCTGCGTCTTGACTCCCAGTTGCCTTCCGCTAGCCAGGGAGCTGTTGTGCATTTGGGTTGTCATGGAGGGAAGAGACTTAGAAAAGAGCTAAGCTGAAAGGAGTAGAGGAAGGAAAGCATCCCAGTTGTCATGATGCTATGACAGAGATGCAAGGTAAAGACTTCTTGTGGAGAGCCCAGGTGAACAAGGCAACAACAGAATATGTTTGAAAATGCCATAATGAAACCATTATTTTGTATGCTGTCTTAATAAAAAAATAAAGACAGTGACAGCCAGGCCAAGGAAACGTGGGTTTTATCTGATAAGCCTCAGGAAGCCATAGTGGGAATCTGAGCAAGGGCGCAATATGAACAGAGCGCTGTGTTCAGAAGGCTGATACAGGCGGGGACCCTGGACAGAAGAAGGATCCAGTGCTTGCGGTGGGCTCCCTGAGCAACTTTGTGGCTGGGGCTGCTGTCTGTTTCAGATTCTCTGTTGCTCTGTTTTAGGTCTACCTGCACAATCACCTCTCCTTCATCCTTTATTACCACCGGGAAGACATGGAAGAGGATCAGGAGCACACATACCGTGTCGTGCGCTTCGAGGTGATTCCCCAGAGCATCAGGCTGGAGGGTGAGTGGGGAGGTATCACCAGAGGGCAGGGCTGGATGGGCCTGGGCTTCCACACATAGCTTCCTCTCATGTTCTCACCTCTTTACTAGCTGGCAGGCCAGATATGGCACATGGGTTCATCCCAAGAAGGCCACTGTACCCAGCAGAGCAGGTTGGGAATGAGGGAGACTTGTACCAGTTGTCTGGTGGGCTGGGTTTCTCCCAACATCTCTGAGAGATTAGAGGTAGTTAGAGATGAGGCTCAAGAGGGTGGCGACTTGACCAAGACCAAGAAGCAGAGTGACGTTTTGTTGAGCCTCTTTCCAAGAACCAGCCAGCCTGGAGAAGAACGCGGGATCAAAGTGTAGGCGAAGCCATTGGGAAGCGGTTTCAGGTTACTTTTGTCTCCATCTGTGTCAGTGATGGGCCAGGCTAAAATTGCCCAGAGTCAACAGTAGGCCAGGAATTTAAGACCCAGTCCAGTCTTGATGGGCCACAATAGGATTTCTTAGACTCAAAAAAGTCTGCTGCCTTCTACCTCTGGAGTGCTGGATTACACCCTGTCTTTTTGTTTTCCTTTTAAAACAGGGTCTCACCTTGTAGCCCAAACTGGCCTTGAACACATAGACCCTCTTGCCTCTGTGTTTCTTTTCATACGCTAGGTATCAAAACTAGGGCCTCACATATTCTAGGCAAGTGCTCTACACCCAGCTCTGTCTCCAGCCTTCCTTTGGGATCACAGGCATGGATCACTACTCTAAGCCTTTTGTCCACAGTGGAGGTTTTCTGGCTTTTTGAAAAAATTATGGAACATGAATTTCCACATGCAGAACTCATAAAGCATGAAACCTGGACTGTAGGCACCATCCTGCCTCTCCTGTGAATGTCACAAGCATAGCTCAGCATTTGCAGATGATTTTTAGCCACTCTCAGTGGCTCTTCAAGATTGCGCTCTGTTCTTTTCTTGCCAGCATGGTGTCTGGCCCATGGTTGGTGTTTATTGTATGTTAGTTGGCTAGATGAAGTGATTAATGTCAGTGAACAAATGAGTGAATGAAAGGGGAAGGCATAGGAATGGTTGGATTAATAAAGTAGTAAAGATGACTGAGTGAATGAACAAGCGGAAAGAGCCACTTCTGTGCATGTTGAGTGGTCCTGATTGAACGATAAAAGAGTCAATGGACATTTGGATTGAATATAGAAAGCCAACTGCTTTTTGGATGGATGGAGTTAGAGTAATATCCTTCTCTCTCTCCCTCCCCATGTACATAGCTTTTTATTCCTGAAGGCTCTTGGGAAAGGTACACTCTCCAGGGAGTGTACCTTTAAAAGCCACAGTTACTTATTGTGTTCCCAACTCCCACTCAACCCTGAAGGTGGGGTGACCTTGACCCTTGCAGAGCAGCCCTGCCTGGGGAAGTAGCACCAGTCACTGTGGGAGCAGACTGGGTCTCTGTCTCTCACAGACCTCAAAACAGATGGGAAGAGTTCATGTACCCTACCCGAGAGTGCCAGCTCCTCACCCCAAGAAATTGACCCCACTAAGGAGAATCAGCTGTACTTCACCTACTCTGTGCACTGGGAGGTGAGACAAATGCCTGCTCTGGCCAGGGGAAGAAGGTTGCTCTGGGCTGGGATTCTCCGTCCAGCAGGAGGCCTGACTCTGCTTCCTCCTGACAGGAAAGTGACATCAAATGGGCCTCTCGATGGGACACTTACCTGACCATGAGTGATGTGCAGATCCACTGGTTCTCTATCATCAACTCTGTCGTGGTGGTCTTCTTCCTGTCAGGTGAGAGCTCTGAGAACTGAAGGCAGAGGCAAGGGTCTGAGGCATCATGTTACTTAAGGGGAGTTTCTGTGGTGTTGTTAGGGCCAAGTGTGCTCAGAAGCAGTTCCCGTGGCCCTGTGCTAGGCCTCATGTATACTAAAATGAACAAGAACTGGTCTCTGCTCTGGTGAGCTTGCTAGAGAAGAACAGATGTGTAGCATGCATAGTCACTGATTCATTCAACCTTCAGAAGCACAGTTCTGCCATGGAAACTGTGGAAAGCTTGGCAGGACGCTAGGTGGAGAGACTGTTTGACAGAGGTAGAATGAGGCAAAGGTAGCAGCAACTCCTGCTTTTTCGCTGCCTCCCCAAACACCAGTCCACAGAAAGGAACTAAACCTACAAACATAAAGTGAGCTCAGGGTCATGAACCACCACTCTGCTCCCTAGAGCAGAGGGGGGGGGAATAGGACAAGTCAGGCAGAGTGATGGGGGTGTTTCCTGAAGTGTTGAGGGACACTAAGAGATAAGGGTACCCCAGGTGACACTTGATGCATGGGTGGAAGTCAGTCAGTGAGGGCGTTTCCAGTAATTGGAATGGCATGGGACTCTCCTCCCTGCCACAGAAAGCAGCATCCCAAGGCAATCTCTCCCATCCCAGCAGCTCCCTTCTCTTCTCTGCAAACCCCTCCTCAGCTAGAGTAGAGCTCTGCTTGTGTAGGAAGGGTTTGGGCGGCCTCATGACTAGCCCCGTTGAAAAGGGCACAAGGCTAGACCGCTCTGTTAGCAGTACTCACCCCTCCGACTCTGTCCTTGGCAGGCATCCTCAGCATGATCATTATCCGGACCCTGCGGAAGGACATCGCCAACTACAACAAGGAGGATGACATTGTACGAGGTCTTGGCTGGGGCGGGGTGGACTGGAGGGAGGACAAGCTAACAGTAGGGCTCCCCAACTGCCAGGCCTGTGTGCATGTGCATGCACACAAGTGTGAGAGCTCACAGAGTAAATGTCAAAGGCATGGAAAAGGAAACATAGTCACAGAAAGAAAACTTGGTTAATTTGTCATTTAAAAAATGTTAAATAGAGCTTTTGAGCTATTGTATCAGGGAAAGGGTGCTTGCCACCCAGCCTTACAGCATGATCCCTGGGACCCATATGGTGGAAGTAGAGAACTGACTCACATACACTATTCTCTGACATCCACTGTAACTGCGAGTTTTCCTTCTGTGCCCCAGATTCCAAAATAACAACTCTCAGACTCTATTATTTATGAATAAATGCCTAGGCCATAAGCCTTGACTCATTCCCCAACTAGATCATAACTTATATTTCCCATTTATTCTATTCTGTGCCATATGGCTAGCTACGTCTCCTCATTTTCATGCATCCATCTTCCTCAGAGTCCAGGGTGAATCTCCTGCCTCTGACTTTATCCCAGAGTTCGTCTGTCTCTGCTGGGATTCCCACCTTCTATTTCCTGCCTCAGCTAATGGGCCATCAGCTTTTCATTGACAGCTGATGCTCCCATACAGCACAGGAGATCCTCTCTACACTCCACTTACACGTTACACGTTGCGCACACACCCACACATGCACATGATTAAGTAAACATGTGTAATCTTAAAAAAATAATCTAAAACTAGAGCTAGGCATAATATTATACCCCTGTGATCCTAGCACTCTGGGCTGAGGCAGGAGAATCTCTAATTTGAGATGACTTGGCTCCATAGCAAGACCCTGTATCAGAGACGGCAAGGCCCAGCATGGTCATTCATATTCCTGGAAGGTGGAGGCAGGTGGAGCTGTATGAGTTCAAAGTCAGCCTGATACACATAGTGAATTCTAGGTCAACCAGGATCCAAAACAAAGAAAAAAAAAATCACCATCACCAACAACCAAAACCACAAAGAACTTAAAAATCCTAAATTTCTCACATAACAAACATTTCTTGCATATTTACAGACAAGAAACTACACATAGCCAATAATTACATGCTGTTTTGATATTTGTTTGGATGTTATCATCATCATCATTATGGTGTGTGCGAACATGCCTGGGGTGAATTTATATACATATATATTTCAGGAATAGGCCCCCCAAAATTCAGATTCAAACTCACAAGAAAGTGGTCTTGGAGCAGGGTGGTGGTGGCACCTTTAATCCCAGCACCTGGGAGGTAGAGGCAGTTGGATCTCAGAGGCCATGCTGGTCTATCTACAGAGTAAGTTCCAGAACAGCCAAGGCTACACAAAGAAACCCTGTCTCTTAAAAAACAAAACAAAAAAAAACAAGGAGTGGGGGTGGAGGAGAAGAAGAAAAAGAATTGAAAAAAAAAAAAAACAAAAAAACGTGATCTTGGAACAGATAAATAGCACAGATTTTTTTTTTTTTTTTCTTTTCTTTTTGAGGCAGGGTCTCACTATGTTACCTGGGCTCTTTCAAACTGGAGATCCTTCTGCCTCAGCCTCCGAATACTGGACAACAGGTATACATACCACATGAGACATCTTTCTTACCTTTTTATTTCAATAATACTAATTGTGGGCTTAGGAGATGGCTTAGTGGGTCAAGTGCTTGATTTGCCTCACAGACATGAGGACCTGAGTTTGGATCCCCAGTTCTCATGTAAAGCTAGGAGTGGCATTAGAACCCCAGTGCTGAAGGGGCAGTTATGGATGGGTCCCTGGGCTTCAGAGAGAGACCTTGTTTCAAAAAAATAAGGTGGAAAGCAGTCAAGGAAGACACTCAGTGTTGATCTCTGGCCTCCACATGTAGATACAAGAACATACATACCCGAACAAAATAGTGCTGTTAGAAGGGTCAGCATGAAAGCCATCATGGTGAGCTTTAACCCCAGCACGCAGGAGGCAGGCAGACCTCTGCGTGCTCCAGGCCAGCCTGATATACTGGTTCCATACAAAGTGAGACCCTGTCTCAAAAAACCAAAAGAAAAAAATATTAACATGGGGAAATGTTCAAAAATCATACATCACTTTAAAATACCAAGGTACACAGTGTGACCCTCTATTTTTTAAACCATCATTCATATAAATGGATAAATGTATAAATGAATAAGCATAGAGACAAGACTAAAGAAAACAACTGTATCTTTTTCTGTTAGCGTATAAGCATTTCTTAAGTATATAGGTCGTTTTACTTTTTAGATCTTTATACCATATAGAAAAGTATGTGTCTGGGTGAACATGTGTTCGGAAGCAGTCTCTTGTGTTGCTCAGGCTAACCTTGAACTCTTGAGTGCTTAAGTCTACAGGCATATACTACCACACTTGGCCTTTTCTGTGTCTTGAAATTTTTTTATATACTAAATATTTTTTAAAATTCATTTGAATTTCATGACATATGACCAGGAAAAAATAGTTCACTTCAAAATCTCACCACCCAAGGACTATTCAGTTAACATTTAGTGTGCTAATGTTTCCATTATTTCCCATTCTCTACTTTTGTGGCATTAGGGAGGTTGTTTTTTTTTTCCTGCAGCTCCAGGCACCCTGTTCTCAGCCTTCGTTCCCCATAGAGCGTTGCTCTGAGAAGCTTGTGGCAGAATGGTGCTGGCTTGATGGGGTCTGCAGGGGTGTTTCCTGCAGGAACCTCCCTGTCCTCACAAGCCTGCCTTGGTCTCTGCCCTTTGCTGCAGGAAGACACCATGGAGGAGTCCGGGTGGAAGCTTGTGCACGGGGATGTCTTCAGGCCTCCTCAGTACCCCATGATCCTCAGCTCTCTGCTGGGCTCAGGCATCCAGCTCTTCTGCATGATCCTCATCGTCATCTGTGAGTGGGCCACGTGGCCTGGGGTGGGGCTCAGAGGAACATGGCCTGAGCCGAGGCACAGCCACCTCTCTGCCTGATCTCCCACAAGCAGGCCAAGCAACACCCAGCCCTGGCAGTAGTAATTGTCTTAGCTGTTTTCAGCTCTGTTCACATAGGAGCCATCATGAGTACTTGGCCAGGGAAGCACACATCACTACCCTGAGCCTAACTTCTTTCTGAGATAAGAGTAAGCACCTGGTCCAGACTTACTACTAGGGCCAGGGCTGACTCAGGTCTCTTCCTTTCTCCCCTCTTTTTCCTTCAAGGCTAGATCTTATATATAGCCCAAGCTAAGATGAACTCTCATGTTTTTTACCTGTCCGACCACATAGAGCGGGACTTTTTTCATTAATATAGGAAAAAAAACTCACTCAGATATAGTAATTACAGACAGGTCTGGAGATAGTCTGCCTAAATTTATTGCTCATGCTCAGCCTCTCAGCTTTATGACTGGGTAACCACCTAGCCTTGTTGGGCTTCAGTTTCCTTGTCTAAGAAATGGAGAGGCTAACTTCCGTCTTCAGAGTCAGGTTACATTCCAAGGCCCAGCAGCTGTTCCTCTCCCAAGCCCCAGCTACATCCAGGCTTCTGTAGAGAACTGTGCTATTACAAAGGCCAAGAAAGAAGGGGAGGTCTTATAGCTCCATTTGTCCAGCAGCCTGTGAGGAGCTTCAGGCCCCACAGACACTCTGATCCTGCCCTGCCCTCTACTTCTCTCTGTAGTTGTGGCCATGCTTGGGATGTTGTCGCCCTCCAGCCGGGGAGCCCTCATGACCACTGCCTGCTTCCTCTTCATGTTCATGGGGTAGGTGTCTGTGAGAGTGTTCCCAGGGGCTGCCACAAGCCTGCTTCACACCACTTATAGGACTCCTTGTTGTGGATTCTGCCTTTTCCTACAACAGGGTATTCGGTGGATTTTCTGCTGGCCGTCTCTACCGAACTCTAAAAGGTCATCGGTGGAAGAAAGGAGCCTTTTGTGTAAGTTGCCGCCGCCGCCGCCTCCTCCTCCTCCTCCTCCTCCTCCTCCTCCTCCCTCCTCCTCCTCCTCCTCCTCCTCCTCCTTTTCCTCCTCCTTTTCCTCCTCCTTTTCCTCCTCCTT